AGGAGAGAAGGGAAGGAAGGAAATCAGGCAATGAGAGAGACATTGCCAACCTGGATCTAGAGGTCTACAAGTTGATTTCTTTTTTTCTTTTTTTGAGAGAAGGAAAGAAAAACAAGGAGTGAAGGAGAGTATGAAAGAGGAAGAAAAAGTGGGAGAGAGAATGGAAATGTTGCTTTATTCTAAAAAAAAAATGGGTATTAATAATGGCCAATCAATATTTCATTTAAACCTATGAGTAGGTGTGATGAGGTATTGACAAGAATGTATATTTTGTGTATTTAAAGTGGAGAGCTCTATAAATATTTATTAAGTTTACTTGTTCCAGATCTGAGTTTGAGTCCTTGATATCCTTATTAATTTTTGGTCTCATTGAGTCTAAGTCTCTATGTATGTGGGTGTTAGGATTGTTAGCTCTTGTTGTTGCATTGATCCTTTTACCACTATATCTTTGTTGCTTTAAAATCTATTTTATCAGATACGAGAACTGCAACTCCTGCTTTTTATTTATTTATTTATTTATTTATTTTGCTCTCCATTTGGTTGGTAAATCTTTCTCCATCCCTTTGTTTTGAATCTTTGTGTATCCTTGTGTGTGAAATAGGTCTGGATGTAGCATACCATTGGGTTTTGGCTGTATCTTTTGATTGGGGGATTTAGTCGATTTAAATTTAGGATTATTGCCATTTGATGTTAACTGGCTGTTTTATCCATTTGTTGATGGAAATTCTTCTTTATGTTGATGCTCTTTACTTTTTGGTATATTTTTAGAAAGCCTAATACTGGTTGTTTCTATGTGTAATGCTTCTTTCAGAAGCTCTTGTAAGCAGGCCTGGTGGTAATAAAATCTCTGAGTACTTGCTTGTTCATAAAAGATTTTATTTTTCCTTCAGTTGTGAAGCTTAGTTTGGCTGGATATGAAATTCTGGGCTGAAAGTTCTGTTCTTTGAGGATGTTGAATATTGGCCCCCACTCTCTTCTGGCTTGTAGAGTTTCTGCTGAGAGATCTGCTGTAAGTCTGATAGGCTTGCCTTTGTGGGTAACCTGACCTCTCTCTCTGGCTGCCCTTAGTATTTTCTCCTTCATTTCAACCCTGGTGAATCTAACGATTATGTGCCTTGCGGTTGCTCTTCTTGAGGAATATCTTTGTGGTGTTCTCTGTATTACCTGGGGTTGAATGTTGACCTGCTTTGCTAGTTTAGGAAAATTTTCCTGAATAATATCCTGAAGGATATTTTCCAGCTTGGATTCATTCTCTCCGTCGCATTCAGGTACACCTATCAAATGTAAATTTGGTCTTTTCACATAGTCCCACATTTCTTGGAGACTTTGCTCATTCCTTTTTATCCTTTTTTCTCTAATCTTGTCTTCTCGTTTTATTTCATTAAGTTGGACTTCGACCTCTGATATCCTTTCTTCTGCTTGAACAATTCGAGTGTTTAAACCTGTGCATACTTCTCGGAGTTTCTGTATTGTATTCTTCAGTTCCATTAATTCACTTATATTCCTCTCTAAGTTGTCTATTCTCATTAGGATTTGTCAAACCTTTTTTCAAAGTTCTTAGTTTCTTTACATTGGGCTACAACATGTTATTTTAACTCACAGAAGTTTCTTATTATCCATCTTCTGAAGCCTGATTCTGTTAATGGGATGTGCTCGTTCTCCATCAAGCCTTGTTCCCTTGTTGGTGAAGAACTGTGATCCTCTTTGGAGGGAGAGGCATTCTGATTTTGAGTATTCTCAGCCTTTTTATGCTGGTTTCTTCCCATCATTGTAAATTTATCCACCTGTCATCTTTGTAATTACCAACTTTCAAATTAGGTCTCTGAGTGGACGTCCAAGTTGTTAATTCCCAGGGCTGAAATATGAGCAAACCCACTGCACCAGCCAAAACAGCGGCGTTAAGACTGATGGTGCTTTTCTGCCCAGGAATCTCCAGTCTGGCTTCCTTCTTGAGTCCGTAATAGGCGACTCTGCCTTCCCAGCGCTCCAAACCTCGGTCAGAAGGGGAACCAGTCCCGTTTACTCTGCACCAAGAGCTGCCACGCCGAGGTGCTGGCAAAACCACTGCACCAGCCACAAGAGTCGCACTGGCAACCCGTGTGACTCCTCCACTGGGAATCTTCTGCTCCATGAGTGACCAAATTTTGTCTGAAAGTGTGGCATCCTCTCGTTCTCTGCGCTTTAACTGGGAGTTGCAATCCCGAGATGTTAGCGATCAGCCATCTTGGATTGTTCCCCTCAACTTATATTATTTTATGCCTTTTAAGAAAGCAGGAGGAAAATGTGTAAATTTGTAGAGCTTTTCATTTTTATTTTCTTAGTTATAAGTTCTCTTCATTCTAGAGATTCAAGTTAACATCTACTATTGTTCTTTATTCCCATATAACTTTGTGCCTACCTTTTCTCTTTGTGTCATTCTTGTTAAGTATAATACATTTATATATGCTATTGGCCTTGAAATACAATTAAATACGTACTCTTTTAAACAATAAAATACTTATTGTTTTTAAAATAAGTTACAAGGAGAAGGAAAGATAATACAATTATGCTGTCTTTTATAATTACATAATTCCCTTACTGTTTGTCCAGGTGGATTTGTATTACGATTTGAAAAGGTCACTTGTTTTCTCCTTGAAAATCTCTTTTAGTATTGCTCATAGAGTAGATTAGCTAGCAGTAACTTTTCTTCAAATGTCTACACTTGAATTTCTCCACGTTGTTTCAAACAAAGTGGGTATCATGGGGAATAGCTTCCAAGCACTATGATTTTATGGACTGCCTCTCTTCCTGGGCAAAACCTCTGAGCCATGGCTCCTTCCACTGGACAGGGAGCCTCTGGTCTTCTTTGCTTGTCTCTCCCAGCATGGAAACTCCACCCTAAAAGTGAACCACAGTGAAGGGATCAGGAGGTGTTCTCAGGCTGACAAGCCTGGGCTAGACCTTTCACTCTGTGAAAGGGTCTAGGGGGAGGTTGACGGCCCTTAACTTCTGGTCCCACTCACCAGGAATTTAATTTCTATAACTTGGTGTTGGAGGTAATGAGAAGTGCTCATGGACTGCCCCTCCTGATGAGATATTTTATCCCTTCCTGGAAGATGAAAGAAGAGGGAACACAGGCTTCTTGGCCATACCCACCTGCAGTGGAACACTTGACAATCTAAATTGAAGATAAGGAAGAAGCAGGTTGTGGAACAAATACCATGGATTCTTGCTATTGTTACCATAGTTGTAGGGGTCTTCTTGAATAGATGTTCTGTTGTTCCATACATGTTTTTAGGACAATTTGCAGAGATTTAAATGGTTAAAGCAATTATGACAAAAGTAACAACGATATACTCTGAAAAAGTAAGTTAAAAGACTTCGACTGGGCATGGTGGCTTACACCTGTAATCCCAGCACTTTGGGAGGCTGAGTTAGGTGGATCATTTGAGATCAATGACAAGCCTGGCCAACATGGTGAAACCTCATCTCTACTAAAAACTAGCTGGGTGTGGTGGGGTGTGCCTGTAATCCCAGCTACCTGACAGGCTGAGGTAGGGGAATTGCTGAAACCCGAGAGGTGGAGGCTTCAGTGAGCCAAGATGTTGCCACTGCACTCCAGCCTCCATCCTGGGCAATGGAGTGAGACTTCGTCTCAAAAAATAAATAAATAAAAAATACTTTAAAGTAGTTTTAATAATGATGAAGCCAAAGTGTTCAGGAAGAATAGGAAGAGTGTGAATGAAATTATTTTATAAAATATGAGTAAGAAAGAACAATATATCTGCATTTCATATATATCTAATATATAATTTTTAATGTGTATAAATAAATTAACAAATAAATGCTCATAAGGGCTATAATTTATTTCTATTGTAAAACCGAGCTAATACCACCTATTCTGTGTATAAGTAGTCATGAATGAAATAGACACATAACATATGAAGCTCTTAGAAAATAATTTGTGAAACATCAAGTTATAGTATACTAAATTTAAAAAGAGAGACATCTATAAATAAAATGTTTTTACAATTATTTTACAATTACTCACTCACCAAACAAGCAGCATAGTAAGATGGTTCAAGAAGAGGGTTTGGGAACTCCCTGGGTTCAGATTAGTTATAGTGTTATAAGTTTAGACAACTGATAAAGTCTTCCTGTGCCTTCTTCATTTCTATAAAATCATAGAAATATTTGTTATGAGATTTAAGTAGTTAATTCATGTAAAGCACTCAGCACTGAGCCTGGAACATGAGTACAATGCACAGAGCCCCCTCCTGACTGTGTGCTGGCCATTAAGAGCCAAGGGCTAGGTGTTCACAAGTGGGTAAAACAAGCCCTTTCCTCATTTGCTGCACCTCTAAAGGAATACGCAGCTCCATTGTGAATTATCTCTTGTTATAGAAACTTATACCTAAAAATTAATATGATGCCTCCTCATTCTACAATTCTCAAACAGATTTCCAATCTTGAGATATATTTCATTTTTTTCAATACCTAAGGGACATGTTTTAAAACTATAAATGGTCCCTAAGATCTCTTCCAATAAAAAAACTTTGAAATTTCATATTTTAAAAAAAAGGCATTGATTCAGCATCACGTTCAGGCAATTACATTTAGCAATCAACAGCAAGGGGTGCAAAAAAATTACATTAAAACCCTTTGTTGGAATGCTTTACACTTTTCACAGAACAGAAATTAAAATAACCTGTTATAAAATTAGCCACGAATACAGTCCTCAAGTTTTTTGCCCATACACAAGTATTTGTCTAATACATCTTCTTTGTAGCAGCTAGGCCCTGCCATTACTGTGCTTGGCTGGGTTCACAAATCTGTTGTAACTTGCAGCTTCCCTATCACTTCTCTGGCTCCCCTCCCCTCCCCTCCCCTCCCTTCCTCCCTCCCCTCTCCTCCCCTCCCCTCCCCCTAATTAAAATCTTCTGTCACTGCCATAGCTACTGCTGCTACTGGACCTTCCACAGCCACTTTCGTTTCCTAGTTTGGCAAAGTATTGGCCTTCACCACCATAGGGGCTGCAGCTTCAGCCTCCAAAATTTCCTCCCTTCATGGGTCCAAATTTGAAGACTGACAGTTGTAATTGCCAAAATCATTGTAGCTTCCACCACCTTCAAAATTGCTTCCTTCACAACCAAATCTATTATAGCCATCCCCACTGCCACCATATCCACCACCACTATGACTGCCACCAAAGCCACCATGACCACTGAAGTTTCCTCCATGACAAGTTGTCATTTCCACCTAAATCACCTCCACAGCCACCATCAAAGTTTCCAGAACCACTTCGACCTCTTTGGCTGGATGAAGCACTAGCCATTTCCTGCTTTGACAGGGCTTTCCTAACTTCACAGTTGTGGCCATTCACAGTATGGTATTTCTGAATGACAATCTTATACCCAGAGTCATGGTCATCAAAGGTTACAAAGGCAAAGCCCCTTTTCTTGCCACTGCCTCGGTCAGTCATGATTTCAATCACTTCAGTTTTTCCATACTGTTCAAAATAATCTCTTAGATGATGTTCTTCAATGTCTTCTTTAATGTCGCCAGTAAGTATCTTTATCACAGTTATATGGGCACCTGGTCTTTGAGATTCTTCTCTTGAGACAGCTCTCTTTGGTTCCACAAATCTTCCATCCACCTTGTGTGGCCTTGCATTCATGGCTGTATCCACCTCCTCCACAGTGGTGTATGTGACAAACCCAAAGCCCCTGGAGTGCTTGGTGTTTGGATCTCTCGTTGCCACACAGTCCATGAGCATTCCCCATTGCTCAAAATGGCTCCTCAGGCTTTCATCCATTGTTTCAAAGCTCAACCTTCCAATGAAGAGCTTTCTCCCCTGTTCGGGCTGTTAAGGAGGCTCTGACTTAGATATGACCACAGGGAGAAGAGAGACTTCAACGATGCTTCTTTTTTTTTTTTTTTTTTTTTCCTTCTTATTTTTTTATTGCATTTTAGGTTTTGGGGTACATGTGCAGAGGATGCAATACAGTTGCATAGGTATACACATGGCAGTGTGTTCTATTTGCTTTCACCCCTTCACCCACATTTGGCGTTTCTCCCCAGGCTATCCCTCCCCACCTCCCCCTCCCACTGGCCCTCCCCTCTTTGGTGGCATCCTCGAGCAGAAAGAAGCAAGCTGACTAACATATCTGCAAACTTCATAATTACCCCTCCTACTAGCAGAGACCAGAAATTGTATTTGTGGTTACTGAGTCAGTGCCGTGAAAGAAGTACTTTCAGTTTCATTAGGCTCTGACGCCATTACAAAGGTGGCTTACCTTCTAATTATTTGATCACTGAGGAAAATCCAGAAAGCTACACAACACTGGAGGGTGAAATAAAAGTCCAGCGATCCAGTGAAAGAAAAGAGAAGTGACAGAAACAACTTTATCTGGATTAAAGAGAAAAGAACAGGTAAGAACTCCAACAGCTTCCTCTCCAGCTCTGAAGTACCTCAGCTCAGGGACATGGAGTCTGTAAAGTTGTGGCAGGGATGAGAAGGAATTTATAAAGGTCGGTTATCCTTAAAAATGACCAGGACCAAAAGGCTCTAGTTGAGCCTGACATGGGACACAGGTCAGATGAAATTCCGGTGCTATCAGGAGCGGCACGGCTCTAAGTGCCACAGTGATTGTGTTGAATTAGGCACCAGCAGACAGGAACTGAGAGTTTGAAATGCACTAAGATGGTCTTTCTCCTTGTTGACATTGTGTTGACTAGGGACATGATTACATTTCCATCCTCAGTGATGGAGCTTGCTGAATCCTACTCCTACGGCAGCCAGGAAATGGAAAGAGCTACAAATAGGTTCTTTTCAAGAGAAGGAAAGAGCAGTAAATGAGAAGCAGAGTAAGCAGCACGCTGCCACTGTTAAGACAAAGAAAGAAACTGAAACCCAGCACGAAAGAGGAAGATTCATGAAAACAGCATACTTTTTATTACACATTTGAACTTTGTTTCAGGTTATTTCTCTAGAACAATCCAGACTAAAGAGCTTCCTCTCCTTTTTTTTTTTTTTAAGAGAGGGCAGTAGACTAATTTTCCTATATAATTGTCTTGTATTGCATCGCTATTAAAGCCAGTATCTTTGCTTACCTTAACCTCTCCCACGCACTCAGACAACTTGGATCCCACCTTCTGGAAACTCCTCCCTTGACTTTCTTGACAAAACACTAGCCTCATTCATCACCTTGTCTGACAGTTCACTTGCTGGCGCTTACTGGAGTGCACTCTTGCGTGCTCTCTCTCTCTCTCACCTTTCCAGTCCCTTCTCCTTCTTCTCCTCCTCCCCACTTTTATTTCTCCTCTTCCTATTTCTCTTTCTCCTACTCTACAAAATGGAAAAAACAGAAAAAAAAAAAAAACAGAAAACTTAAAGCTGTATTGCTGGAAATATATTTTCTTTTAACAACTTCCCATGTAGCTCTCTTTATGGACCTCCTGGTCTTTTAATTCTTATTTCATGAGATTTTTTTGTTTGTTTTTTGTTTTGCTGTGTGTGTGTGTGTGTGTGTGTGTGTGTGTGTGTGTGTGTTTCTTGACAAAATTCAGTATTGGCAGTTTTGCATCCATACCTCCACTGAGTTAGAGGCTACCTTATCATGACACTAATGAAGCTTAAGTTTTGGGGCCCTTCTCTTGCACATGCCCCTTCAAAGCCCTTGGAAAGGTCCCTAGCCATGTGTTTCACATGGTTATGTAGTTCTATAAAATTTGCAAAAGTATATTACATTGGTTCCACTTCCAGAACGGCACTGTGAGAAGCTTTGTGGATCCTCATTGCAGTGAAATAAGCATAACCAGTTGAAGATGGAGGAAGGAACACATTTTAAAAATCCCTGGAAATTGTCCTAAGGGCATATATCAAACAATGAAACATTTATTCATGGGGGTCTTTATTCACCATAGGAATTCATGAATAAACATCAATACTGAATTTCTTACATATAGCCAGGATGTAAAAAAAAATTATGTAAGTCCTATTTTATCTTTCATTTATTGTCTAGTATAAAATTTTTCATAAGAATCCAAGGGAAGGTTTTCCACAATAAATTAAATGAAAGTACTAGATCACAAGAGTAGTTGACTGTTGATAAGTTACTGTCATACCAATATTTACTTTGATGACAATACTTCCATAATTTTTTTAAATGATACGGATTAATTAATTAATGCCCACATTAGAAAAAGAGAAAGACCTAAAATCAACACCCTAACATCACAATTAAAAGAACTAGAGACACAAGGGCAAACCAATTCAAAAGCTAGCAGAAGACAAGAAATAACTTAAGATCAGAGCAGAGTTGGGGATAGAGGCTCATAAATGCTTCAAAAAAAAATCAATGAATCCAGGAGCTAGCTTTTTTTAAAGTTAATAAAATAGATAGACCACTAGTGAAACTAATAAAAGAGAGAAGAATCAAATAGATGCAATAAAAATGAAAAAGGGAATATTACCACTGAACCCACAGAAATACAAACTACCATCAGAGAGCACTATTAATACCTTTACACAAATAAACTAAAAAATCTGGAAGAAATAGATAAATTCCTGGAAACATACACCCTCCCAAGACTAAACCAGGAAGAAATTGAATTCTTGACAAGACCAATAATGAGTTCTGAAATTCAGGTAGTGATTCACAGCGTTCCAACCAAAAAAAGGCCAGAACCAGACAGATTCACAGTGGAATTCTACCAGAGGTATAAAGAGGAGCTGATTCCATTTCTTCTGAAATTATTCCGAACAATAGAATAAGAGGGACACCTCCCTAACTTATTTTCCGGAGCCAGCATCATCCTGATTTCAAAACTTGACATAGTACAACAAAAAAATGAAAAATTCAGGCCAACACCCCTGATGAACATAGATGTGAAAATCTTCAAAAAGATACTGAAAAACCAATCCAGCAGCACATCAAAAAGCTTATCCACAATGATCAAGTTGGCTTCATCTGTGGGATGCAAGGCTGGTTCAACATATGCAAATCATCAATAAACATAATCCATCACATAAACAGAACCAGTGACAAAACCACATGATTATCTCAATAGATGCAAAAAAGGCCTTTGATAAAATTCAACAGTGCTTCATGCTAAAAACTCTCAATAAACTAGGTATTGAAAGAACATATCTCAAAACAATAAAAGCTATTTATGACAAACCTACAGCCAATATCATACTGAATGAACAAAATCTGGAAGCATTACCTTTGAAATTGGGCACTAGACAAGGATGCCCTCTCTTACCACTCCTATTCAATATAGTATGGAAGTTCTAGCCAGAGAAATTAGGCAAGAAAAAAATAATAAAGCATATTCAATTAAGAAAAGAGGAAATCAATTTGTCTCTGTTTGCAGATGACATGATTGTACATTTAGAAGACCCTATCATCTCAGTCCCAAATCTCCTGAAACTGATAAGCAACTTCAGCAAAGTCTCAGGTTAAAAAATCAATGTGCAGAAATCACAAGCATTTCTATACACCAGTAACAGACAAGCAGAGAGCAAAATCAAGAACGAACTGCCATTCACAATTGCTACAAAGAGAATAAAATACCTAGGATTACAACTAACATAGGTTGTAAAGGACCTCTTCAAGGAGAACTACAAAACACTGCTCAATGAATCCAAAAACCTTGAAAAAAAATTAGATGAAATGCTAACTAGAATAACCAGCTTGGAGAAGAATATAAATGACTTGATGGAGTTGAAAACACAGCATGAGAACTATGTGAAGCATATACAAGTTTTAATAGCTGAGTTGATCAAGCAGAAGAAACGATATCAGAGATTAAAGATCAATGCAATGAAATAAAAAGAGAAGGCAAGGTAAGAGAAAAAAGAGTGAAAAGAAATGAACAAAACCTCCAAGAAATATGGGATTATGTGAAAAGGCATAAGCTACACATGATTGGTGTACCTGAATATGATGGGGAGAATGAATCCAAGCTGGAAAACATGCTCCAGGATATTATTCAGGAGAGCTTGCCAAGCCTGCAGTTTAACATTCAAATTAAAGAAATACAGAAAACTCCACAAAGATATTCCTCAAGAAGAGCAACTGCAAGGCACATAATCATCAGATTCACCAGGGTTGAAATGAAGGAAAAAATGCTAAGTGCAGCCAGAGAGAAAGGTCAGGTTCTCCACAGAGGAAAACCAATTAGATTCACACCAGATCTCTTGGCAGAAACCCTACAAACCAGAAAAGAGTGTGAACCAATATTCAACATCCTTAAACAGAAGAACTTTCAATCCAGAATCTCATACCAGCTAAACTAAGGTTTGTACCTGAAGGAGAAATTAAATCGTTTATGGACAAGCAATTACTGAGAGATTTCATCACCACCAGACCTACCCTGCAAGAGCTCCTGAAAGAAACAGTAAGCACAGAAAGGAACAAGTACCAGTCACTGCAAAAGCAAAAGTACCAGCTTGAAAGACCAAAATGCAATGAAGAGAATGAGTCAACTAACGGGAAAGAAAACCAGTCAGTAACAAAATGGCAGGACCAAATTCACACAACAATATTAACATTGATAGTAAACAGCCTAAACACTCCAATCAAAAGACACAGAATGGCAAATGGGATAAGAAGTCCAGACCCATTTGTGTGCTGTATTCAGGAAACCCATCTCATATACAACAACACACACGGACTCAAAATACAAAGACACACACGGACTCAAAATAAAGGGGTGGAAGATTTACCAAGCAAATGGAGAAGAAAAAAAAGCAGGGGTTGCAATCCTAATCTCTGATAAAATGGACTTCAAATCAACAAAGATCAAAAGAGACAAAGAAGGACACTACATGATGGTAAAAGGATCAATCTAACAAGAAGAGCTAACTATCCCAAATATACATGCACCCAATGCAGGAGCACCCAGATACACAAAGCAAGCTCCTAACATCCTAAAAGGAGATTTAGACTCCCACACAATAATAGTTGGAGGCTTCAACACTCCACTGTCAATATTAGACAGATCAACGAGACAGAAAATTAACAAGGACATCCAGGACTTGAATGCAGAGCTGGACCAAGTGGACCTAATAGACATATACAGAACACTCCACCCCAAATCCACAGAATATACATTTTTCTCAGCACCACACTGCACTTACTCTAAAATTGACCACATCCTTGGGAAGCAAATCACTCCTCAGCAAATGCCAAAGAAAGGAAATCATAGCAAACAGTCTATCAGACAGCACAATCATACTAGAACTCAGGATTAAGAAACACACTCAAACCCGCATAACCACTTGGAAACTGAACAATTTGCTTCTGGGTGTCGACTGGATAAACAATGAAATGAAGGCAGAAATAAAGATGTTCTTTGAAACCAATCAGAATGAAGACAAAATTTACCAGAATCTCTGGGACAACCTTTAAAGCAGTGTCTAGAGG